CCCCCCCCCCCCCGTGAGGCAGGACAAGTTATGCGCCCAAGGACCCTGGTTAGTAAGGCATGGAGCTGGGATATCAACCAGGCAATCTGGTTCTTCAATCGCTCCCTGAATTGAACTGGGATGTTTGCAAATTGTCCAGCAGAGATTGTCTCCCTGGGCTGTTTCCTGGAAGCTTCTGGTCGCCCTCCCCAGCTTTCCCTCCTCCCAGGGGCCCCAGTGGCGCCTGCAGGTGCTGCCAGCGGTTCCCTTCTCTCCCTGATATCCTCACCACCTTACGAATATGAGCCTTGGCTTCTGTGGCTCCCTAGCCCCAGGTCCACATGTTGGCCTCTCCCTCTCTGTCCAGCTGGGTCAGGGTTCAGTTACTTCTCAACCTGGGGGTCCCAACAGAGATAGAGAAGAGGCAACTAGGCTGAAAGTTGGGAAGAGGCACCTCCTTAGGGGAATCTTTGATCTTTCTGGGTCTTCTTCCCAGGGTCCAGTTGGAATTGGAGCAGCGGGACCTGAAAGTGAAAGAAGCGGGGGGACCCTGGACCTCTCTCCAGCAGTGGTCTTGGTCCTCAGATGCAGGATACCCCATCTTTCCAACCACCCATTCATCCCACCACCCATCCCACTTTCCTGCCCTTCCACCCTCATGCATGCATCCTTCTCTCCATCCACCCATGCATCCCACCCTCCATCCATCCTTCCATTCCATTCCAACATCCCAACATCCATTCATCCTTCTAACCGTCTACCCCAACCATCCAACAACTCTTTAATGAGTGTGTTTTCTGTGCAGCATCATAGGACATCCTAAGATGACACTGGGAAAACAGAAAGCTAGGGAGGTGGAGAATCGGGAGTCAGGGAGTAAGAAGAGAGGGAGGAAAAGATGGGGCTGGGGGTTGAGGGCTTGGGGTTAGTTTGGGTGGGTGGTAGTAATGGGAGCAGGCATTGAAAAGAAGCTTCCCTCCACGCTGCCCCCACTCACTCTGAGAACATGGGCCAGGCTCCATCCAAGTCTGGCCGTTGCAGGTCCAAGTCGAAGGTCACCTCGTTGAGAGCATAGAGGGAGTCCAGGATGTCTTCCTGGAGTTCAGGGCACACCAGAGGGCTCCGGGGGCCATACCACTCCCTGTGTTAACAGGGAGCAGCACCCTTGGCCTTTGGCTCTGGTGCTATTGCCACCCCCGACCTCAGAGAATCTACCTCCACTGCACACCATAGTGGGATGGTTCCCCAGACAGGGTGGTCCTTGGGACCAGGAGGCCAAGCATCATGATGCTACCAGGACTGGGGTTCTAACCTCCCCTTTGCCCTTTCTTCCTTGGCTTTCCCTTTATGACCCTTATGTTAGTCTTTTTTTTTTTTTTTGTGGTACGTGGGCCTCTCACTGTCGTGGCCTCTCCCGTTGCGGAGCACAGGCTCCAGACGCGCAGGCTCAGCGGCCATGGCTCACGGGCCCAGCCGCTCCGCGGCATGTGGGATCCTCCCGGACCTGGGCACGAACCCGTGTCCCCTGCATCGGCAGGCAGACTCTCAACCACGGCGCCACTAGGGAAGCCCTATTTTAGTCATCTTTGATATCAAACCACCCTTCTAGGGGTAAAGAGGAATCTTCCTGAAGGAGGGCCACGGGCTCGGATGGTATCAGTAGCCCCACCTGGTTAGCTCTGGGTTCAGGAGGCAGAGCTGCAGGGACTCTGCCAGCTGTCCCTGGGCGAGACAGAAGCGGATGAAGGCTCGGCCTTTTCCCAGCGGGGTCTTCAACTGCACAGCACACAGGGGACAAGTGGGGGGATGGTGGTATTAGGACAGAGGGAACGCAGCCAGCACAGAGGGAGAAAGGCTAGAATGAGTGGTGAGAAAGGGTGTCCTGGGACTTGAGGCTGTGGGAGGAAAGGGGGTGACCGGAGGGGTGTGAGGGCAGGGCTAACGACAGGTGAGGACCAGGTGAGGGGGGCTATGGTCAGTGGAGTTGGGATGGGTGAGAAAGGAGCCTCGGGCAGGCCGGTGTCCCCTCTGGCCACCGATCCATCCTCGTCAAGGACCTGGGGGCAGGACCCCATCACACTGAGGCCAGCCCCCCTGCCACCTGGCCCTGGATACCTTGTCCTGTGAGTGGACAAAGTGGACTGGCTCCGTGTCCCCCCGCTGCTGCCACAGGGCTGTGCAGAGGAAGTCCCAGTAATCCTTCCGAGGCCTCAGGAAGCTCTTCTGCTCTTTCTGGTCAAACTGGGAGCAAGATGAGGGAAAGGAAAGTGTGGAAATGTTCCCTCCCAGAACACTCTGTGTTCCAGCACGCTGAGCAGTATAGCGGAAAGGGCTCGTGCAGACCGGCCCACTTCAGGTCCTGGTCTGCCCCTACTGGCTGTGTGACCAGGAGCAAGCTGCTTGACCTCTTTGAGCTTTCAGTGTTCTCATTCATTCATTCATTCATTTCAGAAATACTTATTGAGCACTTACTATGTGCTGGGCCCTGTTTTAAGCCCTGGGGATACAGCGATGAACAAACGGAATAAGCAAAACATATAGTATGTTAGATTGTGCTGACTGATAAGGAGAAAAATAAAGCGGGGAAAGGGAGTGGAAAGCGCATGGTGTGTGCATGCATGTGTGAGATGTGTGTGGGGTGTGTGAGTGTGTGGTGTGTATGTGTGGTGTGTGTGTTAAAAAATGTAGATTAAGGTGTCTAGAGAAAGCCTCACTGAGGAGGCTCTCTTCAAGTCCAGATCTGAAGGAGACAAGAAAGGGTTCCATCCAAATTTCTGGGTGAAGAGCATTCCAGGCAGAGGGAATAGCAAGTGCAAAGGCCCTGAGGTAGGTGCTTTTCTGCTGTGCTTTAGGAAGATCAAGGAGGCCGGTGTGACTGGAGTGCAGCACATGAGGGGCAGACTGGCAGGAGACCACACAGGCACACAACATATACCACACACACACAAACCTCACACACATGCACACTCACGCCACACATGTACATGCACATTGTCAGAGAAGTAGGAAGAGTATGTGTGTGTGTGTGGGGGGGGGGATGGGCTGGTCATCAAGAACCTCAGTGGGTTAGAAGGAAAATTAAACAAGATGGGCGCGTAAAGGGCTTAGCTGGGCACATAATATGTGCTCAATAAAAGCTAGTGATAATGATGACTGGGGCTCTAACCAGAAGCGAGGAAGGCCAGCCCGAGGACACCTGTGCCTCTGAAACTTTTGTCTTTAGAGCAGGGTGACTGCCTCCAGCCCCACCCAGCCCTGCCCCAGCCTTGTTCCACCTCACTTCCCAGGCTACAGTGACAGCCTCCAAGGGTGAGGTTAGATGTCAGGAAGGGTTTGCCGATTGACAGAGATGAGATAGTGCGTGGTAACGAAGAGAGGCAGTGGCTCTTCCCTCAGGATCTGGGAAAGCCCACTCAGTTACTGGTTATTGGGACCTGGAGAGATGGGGGGGAGGGGAGGGCCCTACCTGCAGCAGTTGCTCCAGGCAGCCACAGAGTCTGTGCAGTTCCGCACTGGTGTCTGTCACCGGCTGCCGCCCACCCCCATAGCCTTGGAGGATGGCAGAGATGACAGCTGTGGGGAGGATGGTGGACATCAGACCTCAGATGGTGAGGGTTCTGAAGGAAAGGGTCTCAAGACCCCTCACCTCTCCCCCATTTCGGCCCCAGAAACTCTCAGGACACACTCACCCTTCAGGTCACTGGTCATCTTGAAGACAGCCCCTTCTTCTGCCATGAGTATTTGAAAATGACGTGATTCCTTGTGGGTCTAGAGGCCAAGAACGAGCTTCTGGCTTCAGCTGCCCAGGTTTCTCCTTATACAAGGGAAGAATCACAGCCAAGAGAAACAATGTGACGTCTCTAGGGTCACACAGCGAGTTCACTGGTAGGAGAAGACCCAGCTCTTTCTTGTAAGGCAGGGCGGGAGGATGGTGGTGTGGTCCCCACCTATGGAGCCATTCCTGGGTGCCAGGCCCTGTGTCCTGTGCCTGACATCCTTGTATTATTCAGTCCCCATAATAACCCTGGGAGGTTATTGACTCCATTTTATACCAAGAGAGGGGGGCTTAGAGAGGGTAAGTGTTTTTTCCAATGTCACAAAGTTCTAAGTGGTGAAGCTAGAATTGGAACTCAGGTCCCTGTGCCTGCAGGACTCATGCTCTCAACGCTGACTGTCTGTGAGCAGCCCTGCTAGTGCGCATGTGTGTAAGCCATGTGGACGCTGGGCCGAGGGGCTGTCACTCCCTCCCCACAAGGGGCCTTGCCAGAGCAGTCATCATCCCTGGGACACACATTCATCTTTTCCTGGGCCCCAGCTGCATGGAAAATGTGTGTTTTCTGAGGAAAAGGAGGCAGAAGCAAGTCGAGACCCCAGAGTCGGGCCTGGGCCAGAATGCTGGGGGTGTGTAGGGAGCAGGGTTTTAATCCCACTGCTCTCTCCCCAGTGAATCTCAGCCTGTAACAGGGTTTATCCCACTGCTCTCTCCCCAGTGAATCTCAGCCTGTTCCCCCCACAGTGGGTCCCGGGGCTCAGAGAGGAATACTGTGGCCCCGGAGGGCCCGTGGGCTTGTTCTGAGAGCCGGAAGTAAAGACAGGCATGGAGTGGGAGACCCAGCTGTCCTGCCTCCCATGCTGTGGTGGCTGGAATTTGGGAGTGAGTGGGAGTGAAGGAGCGCTGGGACACAGAGGAGGGGAAGCGAGAAGGAAAGGAAGGTAAACAAGGGAGGGTGGGTGGGGAATGGCGTTCAGGGAGCACAGTGCTGGGAGTCAAGACACCTGTTCTCCATCCTGGCCCTGCTGCTGGCTCACTGTGTGACCTGGGGCACATCCTTCACCTTTCTTGGGCCTGGATTTCCCCATCCATAGACCAAGGGGTTGGACTGAGGGTCTCTGCCGCTCCGTTTAGCTCAGATGATCTGTGAACTCCACAGACACCTAGATGGACCTCCTCCCCTTCTTCATCTCTACCCAGGATTCCTCTGCCCTTGCTCCTGGCCACCCCCAGACCCAGGGGTCTCCTTGCTACTCACCTGGGAAGGCCTGGCTGGTTGGGGCATGGAAAGCAGAGCACTGCAGCCTGAGCCTGTCATTTGTGATTGAGGGCTCTGCACAGCCTTTTCCAGAGTTTGCTGCCTGGGAAGTGACTCATGCCCAGCCCAGCAGGCTGGAGGAGGGGGAAATCTTGCTCAGAGAAGAAGTGGAAGACTGTGGGGCCGAAGTGGCAGAGGCAGGCTGGAGGGCACCGGGGCAGAATGGTGAGATGGGGGATGGTTCCTCTTAGGCAGACCTGGGGTGGGTTCGCTTGTTGGCCAAACACAGACTGGGACCCAGACTCACCGACGAGGTAGTGGCAATTGTTGCTCTGCGAGGTCTCTCCCCTTCTCATCACGGTCACTTGCTCTTGTCTTTCTTCCTTATCGCCACCAGGTGGCACAAAGGCTATGAGGCTGCCCCACCTTTACTGTCACTTGGTTGGAGTGCGGTGCAGGTGTGGAGGGGAGGACAAGGGTCCCACCTCATGTCTCCCTCCTCCGCCCCGTCTCTTCTGGGGGGTCCCGGTGAGTGCTGATCACCAGTGCCGTTCCCCCCAGTTCTGGGGCTCACCGCTGAAAGTGAAAGCACTGGTGAGATGCTCTGTCCAGGAAGGGGCCCGGTGGCTTGCCCAGGCGGACTGTGGCCCTCCCACCCTGGCTGTGCTTTGTCTCCTTGAGGCTGGGATCTTTCCCCTGTTGGTTCCCAGGGGCTAGTACTGGGGGCAGAGAACAGAGGAGCAGGCATCTGCGAGGACTACCCGTTTCACAACCTCCCAGGAACCGCATGTAAGCACTGGAGCACGCGGTACCCAAGCCTGGCTCTGTCCTACCACGGGGACTGCCTGCCCGTCTGTCTCTCCTTCTCTGGGACTTGGTCTCCCGCGTGCAGAGGCTGCGTCCCCCCTCTCTGTGCCCCGTGTCCCCGTCTCTCCCTCATTATCTCTCCTTATCGGCTTCCTGCCTCTCCCGTCGCGTCCGCTGGCGCTCTCTCTCTCT